ACATATATATATATATATATATATATATATATATATATATATATATTATGTACTTTTCCAGTATATTTTTAAATGCAAAATAGCCTTTATCTTGCATTGGATAAGCACTGGATAATTAAGACATCTGCCTCATTCTCAAGTATTTTTTCAAGGAGTATGAAGTGTATGCAAAGTATGTAGAAAAATCTAATAGTCTGGCAAATAGAGTACAAGAAATATTTAAATTGAAAACTGAGACTAAGGAACCAAAAGGAGAGACAAAAAAATATTTCTAAAAATTAAATGAATGTAAAATAAAAATCATATGACTATATATTTAGGACATAATTTCAGAGTTAAAGGTGTAATTGGGTTACTTGGACCTCCAACTGCTGGCCAGCAGTATTGCCTGGAAACCTTCAACAGATACAATTAAATGTCTTGCTCATTTATTTAATGGGATCTTAGCATGTTGAGGTAAATGAATAGGCACATAAGTGCTATGTTTAAAATTTAAACACAGAAGATAAGAATAGTTGGTCTATTTTCTTGGACCTAAGTTTGCTAAAAATTGAATGCACACTTGACTTTTAAATATATTTGCTGTCCTGTTTTTCTAAAGCAGTGAATTATACAATCATAATCATTGGTGGTTTAGAGGGATAAAAAATGTTTCTGGGCATACTCTTGGAACAGAGTTACAGAACCACAATGTGGGTTATAGGCATTCGTATTAAAACCTTTAAGATATATTTGAGTAGAAATCACAATTATGTTACTAGGTTTTTGCACTTTACTGCTGACAGTAACTTTCAATAAAATGTGACTATTATAATAATGGAGATCTGCACGGCCAATCTAGGTCTAGAATCTCTCAAGAAATCAGGGAAGAAGGAAAATAGAACTCAATTGCTTCCTTTTTTTTCCCTTCCTTTTCTGCTTTCTATCTTTCAATGTGTTTGGTCCACAATTGCTTGCCCCAAACTCCTGGTATAAGATGTGCTTTATAATTCTTAATTGTTAGGATTTTGGAAGGTGGTGTTGCACATATGCCTATATATTATCCACTATCACCAGTGGGGCCTTGGGTGGCATATGTCTGCAACAGCACATACGAACATGCACACCAAGTGAGATTAAAACAAAACAAAACAAAACAAAAAAAACTACACATACCTACATTGGTTTGGGTTACATATTACTACACATAAGTTCAAGGTAACTCAGGTTGTCTGCCATAGAGATCCCAAGCCCCCACACCCCCAAAAATATTAATTTTCTGGAGACT